AGTTAGTTCTGTTAAACGATAATCCGTTAATTCACAACATAAGTAACGGAAGTTACTTTAGTCCGTTAATCGTTAACATTTTACACGGTAATATCATAATAATATGAAAATGCTTGTGCATTTTTCTGAGGACAACTCGACCAACCTACGCTAACGGCTAGGCGCCACTCACTTGTCGTAGCGCGGTCACGTAATAGCAATGCAAACCGCGCACGTGTTCTTCGCTTTTGTAATGCCTGCACTATTATCAAGGTCGGTGTAATACACAAGGGAGCACTGCCGCTTCAACCCTATTGGCCGTAGTGTCTAACGGTGGCGGCCATATTGCGCAGACCAGAAACCGGCTGCCTCCTGTGTTGAGGAATAGGGAATTCGGGACCTCGATTTACGTTCGCGGCCGCCGTATCCGTTACGCTCAAGTTACGTAGATACGGAACCCGGCATCTTACGCAGAATTGAGTGGGGAACACGATCTTATCTTCAGAATTCCTCAAATTCACTCGCCGGACCTACATTTGCCCCGGCCGAGGGGGTTGATTGAACCCACCTCGCTAATGCACCGCTAATTAAACTAGAATTAAGCGGTAAAGTGGTAGTATGCGGCAAAGTATAATGCAGAGTGACTGGTAGGAACCCGCTGTAAGGGTCTCAGGTCAACCGGTGACCTCTGAGGTCAGGTCAAGTGATCTAAGGCACGGGTTCGGTTTTTGGTAAATAACTTCGCCAAAAATGGCCGTAGAGCCGCGATTTTGGCATCATCGTGTTCAGCTAGCTCAGGCGCATCGAGTGATATACTTTTTGCTCGGGTCAGGTCAACTTAGGGTGTTGACCTCAGGTCAAGGTCAGGTCAGCACCCCCGGGTCACGAAGTTGGTCGAAAGAGGTCATGTCGCATATCATTCGATTGGGCAAGTCTTCCTGAGTCCATTGGTGGCTTTCCCGACTCGCTAGCTCAATTTGATCGGGAGTTATTGAAGAAAACTTGTGACCCTTGTGACGTCACAAATGACGTCACGCAAGGGCAACAATGCAAATATGAAGCATAGAACCTTGCAAAGAGTGCATGAAATCATGATTTTATATGCTTGAGATAGTTTCAGATCATTCTCGGCGCCAAAATAGCAATTTTCATATTTCCCCATTGACTTATAAGGGTTTAACGTATTAGTTCCTTATATCTGATGATTTTTTAGGATTTCATCTTGTTCTCCACTCAATTCTGCGTAAGATGCCGGGTTGCGTGTCCACATAGCTTGAGCGTAACGGATGCAGCGACCGCAAACGTAAATCGAGGTCCCGAATTCCCTATTCCCCAGCACAGGCGGCGGCCGCTTTCTGAGGCCTGTTTCACTAACAAATAAAGTGTGTAATTACAAAGAAAAAACTTGAGTTTACAAGAAATAATTACCAACATTTGAAATTTGGATTTCACGAAACCTTCGGGCATGAATTTTGAGTTTAAAATTTGCAAACTTTTTTACAAGAAAAAGTTTGCTAGAAAACACGGGAATCGCAAACTTTCTGTTTCACGAAGACCAGAAACTTGAAAGAAAACATCGTAATTACAAACCTGAAATTCCAGTGGTCCTGACGTTCGGAATTTTGATACTTTTTGTGCAATGATGCAAAGCAATCAATTATTTAAAACAAATATGATATGCTGAGTCATTATATGCTCTTTTTCACTTAGCACATTCCCTACGAACCAGCTACGAGCAATAAATAAATATCGTCATGTTTTGTCATTCGCGCGCCATAATTGCATTCAACAGTCTTCTGCTGTCAAATGTTTTACGTGTTATTTTGTTTCAATAATAAGATATTGTGAACTATCATTTATACCACTCAGAAACAGCATCATTATTTTTAATTTATTCCTGCAATTTCTGACATGAAAACTAGACATAGTTTGATAAAAAGAAGCAATATCCATAACATGTTAAAGTTCTTGATTAAAAACAATTTTATTGTTTACAAGTTTATTTACCAATTTTTTTTATCGGAGGTGCCGCTGGTGATGAAGTTTAGTGAAACCCGATTTTACATAGTTTGCAAAAATACTTATGAATTGTAAAGTTCAAACACTTGTAATCGCAAGTTTTTAGTGAAACAGGCCTCTGGTCTGCGCAACATGGCGGCACCGTTGGACACCATTTGGCGGCCGATGCGCATTCCACATTATAGAGTTCAGTGGTGTAATAGTTGGTATTTGGCCACAACTGAAATAAATAAAATGCTGCCAGATCCAGAAAGGAAAAACTTCGCCGCATGAAGGTTTCATGCACACCAGTAACTTTACAGTAAACTTTTTGCTTCGAAATAAAAGTAACGATTAATGGATTAACGGACTAAATTTTAACGATTACGGAGTCGAAGAGTAACGGAACTAAAACGGTCCGTTACACGTGGAAAAAATTAGCGAGTCCGTTAATCGTTAACCCAAAATTTAGTTCCGTTAATTAAAGGATTAGCGATTTAACGGACTTGCCCACCTATGCATATCAGTCGATCCGTATCGTCGAGCGGAACACATCTGAGGTGTTTTCATCGCTCTAGTACGTCTCTATCAAAAGTTATTGTAAAAAAAAAACTCCTGGGGACCTTCCATGACCTGATGACCTCAGAGACATAAGGAGGGGTCACGGGTGCCATTTTTCGATTCAGCTTGTCCAATTTACCGGTGACACGATGTTTGAGAGTGTTTGGAATGACGTTCGTCCAAAAAAGCGCCTTTCAATTTTCTCCCATTGACTTATACCTAACGGAAAGGTCGCAAAATTAACCTGACTTTAGGTCACCGATATCGAAATTCCGAGATATATCTACATTTTGTATATGTTACAGGCTGTATGAAAACTCAGTCCGTTTGCAAACGGCCTGGTCCGATTCAGGCCGTTTGCAAACGGCCTAAATCAGTATGCTCAGCCCAGTCAGTATGCAAACGGACTGAAAAGTCAGGCCGTTTGAACTTTGAATACGGGCTGAAATTCCAGGCTGTATGCAAACCGCCTGAACTTTCAGGCCGTTTGGAAACCGTCTAGGCCGTATGACAACTTTTGAGACACCAGGCCGTTCGCAAACGGTCTAGGCACTTTGAAAACAATCTGGTCTGCATGAAGTTAGCTGGACAATGTTAAGTTTGTTGAAGCACGACCGTATCATGACATTACATGGCACCATGAAAGCTTGGTCAGGAATAGATTAGCAGAACTGAGTCCGGCCCGTATAGCGCCTGGTCGACCCGGCCACTGACTTCACTGACTTCAAAGTTTGGCCTTCCACCGCAATGGTCAAGTATTGCCGGCGTACGCCACCGCGCCGGCGGTCGACCGGGCGCGGTGAGGACTCTAATGTCAACTCTAATGTCCATTCTGCGCTCCTGCGTTTTATGCTGTTCCGCAAAATAATCAGTGAGTCTTGCACAGTGTAGTGATACGCTTCACCAGGCTTCACCAGTAGTGGCTTCACCAGGCTCCATCAACTGGATGGCCGTAAACAGGCGGCTCGAAAACTTGTATTATTACGGAGCGAGCGAAGCGAGCGGAGTCTTACGTAGAATAACGGAAATTTCTGAGTATGAGCGGCCGGCCGGCCGGCCGGCCGTGCGGACGCTTTTGCGAGGCTTATATCTCAGCAACCACTTGACCGATTTACACGCGGTAATTTTTGTAGGGTAGCTTCATTCCTTCTACCAAGTATTGGACTATTCCCGATGCATGTGGGTGACCCCTTATGCACGTGCCACGTGCAAAACGAAGAGGTGTCAGTTTTGTAATTGTTGCAATATCTCGGTAACTACTTGGCCGATTGTGCTGAAAGTTGGCATGTAGGTAGGCACCCACTAGGCACTGCATATTCATATGCCAGAGTTGGGGTGCTGCTGCACGTGCGCACGTGCAGGGGTCGTTTCCAGATCTCGAGAACGGCTGGACCGATAGCGCTCAAATTTGGTACACGGTTAGGGACCAGTTAGTAGGGTGCCGTGCACAAGTCAGTTGGGACCCATTTTGCACGTGCGCACGTGCAGGGTGCCGCTTCCAGATCTCGAGAACGGCTGGGCCGATTGTGCTCAAATTTGGCACATCGTTAGGGACCGGTTAGTAGGGTGCCGTGCACAAGTCAGTTGGAGGTACCCCCTCGCAATTTCGCACGTGCAAGGCCCACCCTCTCGCTCGCTCCGTTAGTCGCCCCGAAAGGCGTTATACTGGTTAGTAATATTGTCGGGAAAATTGCCGGGCCGAGCAGCTGCACGGTAAGAAAATGTTCGACGTAGACGATTCATTTAGCACAATGCGCAAGCGTTCATGGATACGTACTGGTCATCGACCGACCTGGATCCATTAATTAAGTGATCTTCAGAGTCTGTTGCACTTCGCCAGACCGTTTGAAAACTGACTAGGCCGTTTTCAAAATGTCTAGGCCGTCGGTCGGTGCAGCTATAATAAGGATTCTAACGTTCTGGAGTGAGTTCTAGGTGACCTGACCTTGAGTGACCTGGTCTGAAATTTCCACAACATGTGCGGGAAAGATGCATGAGCAGTTATGCCAAAAACGGCGGCGGGAGCGCCGCCGAATTTGAGGTATCTGCGAAAAACCGCAGGGGGTGTTCAAAAACCCCTCCGCCCGGCGCGGGTTAAACTACTGAGTAACGTGTTTGAAGTAAATCCGATTTTGGGAAAAATGTGTTGGGTTGTCGGATACCGCTTTCCGGATCGCCGAGTGTTAAAGTGTTTCATCTTGCTAATTCACAAATGTGCTGTCCATGATCACTAAGCTAAAGATGCCTCTATAGTTCATTAGCACTTGCAAAACGTAACATTTATCACATTCTTTCGCGCTGATGAAGTCGTGAGACGAAACCAATCCACTATTGATGCATCATGCAACTGATTAATTTACGGCAGGTATTCATAGGCGGAGGCCTGGTGCCTGTCCCTGCAGCTCCTCCCGTGTAGTACGAGCCGTGACCTCAGCTCAGTATCATCTCTGTTCGACCCACAGGGGCGCTGGCGTTCTCGCGGAAACACCCGCTGGCCACCTGGTTCTCCTCCATGTTCTCCATATTCGCCGGCGGTCTGCTGGCCAACTTCCTGCTGGGCGAGCCGGTGCTGGGCGCCGTGAAGAACAACAACCAGCTGCTGCTAGCCACGGCCGTCTGGTCAGTGCGGTGGGGCGGACGGGGCGGGGCGGGGTGCATCGTCGGCTGACCCGCGGGCGGGGTGGCGCGGGGCTCGTAACTCTGGGGGTGTCTACTGGCCGGGACGCCGCGTCGGTTGTTGCTGGGGCGAGGCGGAACCAATAGCTCTGGTGGTGTCGCGACCCGATAGTGATTTTGGCACAGTTACATAAGACGAGCTGGCAATGGCAACTGGTACTCATCTAGACTTCACAGATTGCGTACCACCACATCGCCATGGATAAATGCATCTAAATAAAGCTTAACCGTCGGTCAAGCATGGCTCAGAGAATCGGTAATGTTTTTGCGTTTCTGTTTCAGGTACGTGATATTTTATTCTCCGTTTGACATCGGTTACAAGGTCGTCAAGTTTCTGCCTTTCAAGGTCGTTCTCTCCGCTATGAAAGAGGTGAGAACGAGATGAGAGAAGCGGTTGCGAATGAATTGCTAGTGAAAAATATGCGTCAATCAGCAACGGTGGTTCATCACTATGTGACGCTCCTTCAACGCTATTGTATTGGCCAAACCAGTTGCCACATCTCTTTCCACTGTACACACAACCCAATCGTTTTACTTCCTTTCCCCCGATAACAGATGTATGTACAGGTGTGCAGTATTGCCTACCTCCTCCTCTAAGCAGGAGCACCAAAGGCCTTATGGGCACCAGTGTCACCCCACCCCCACCCCAAGGATATTACATCCGCCCCCTTTGACAGGTGTACCGGTGTAAGAAGGTGCACGACGGCGTCACCCACGCGGCCAAGCTGTTCCCCACGGGCTACCTCATTATGGTGCTGGTCGGCACCGTCAAGGGCAACGGCAGCGGCTTCGTCAAGATCATGGAGCGCCTGTTCCGCGGCGTTTGGACCCCCACTGCCATCGACATCATGGGACCCAGCTTGTGAGTATCGGATCGTTGGCCTTCTGGTAAACTTGCATTGATCGCCCATTGACCGACATGTGGCCGCCCGCTAACGGTTTGGTGCCTGTGGCCTTTAGGTAGTCTGCAACCTTACGGTCGGTGCCAGTTGCAGCCATATACAAAGTTGGTCTGTGCTGCTCTCTGACGGTAGTGTTTATCGTCAGTGTTGGTCGTATCGGTAGTTCGCCGCGGACGGCAGGTCTGTGTCCGCGCTACCCAGCCCGTCTGGGTTTGTTAAACTGCAGACGAGTGGCGAGTCTGGGCCATGCCTGCCTCACCCAGCCGATCTGGGTTTGGGTTTGCTCCACTGGTCCACTCTCCAGTGTTGGTCGCTTTCACTGGTGTGGTGGGCCTGGTCTGGGTCTGTTGTGCCCGCCCCACCCAGCCGCGATTCAGGTCCTGGGTCTACGTCCGCCCCACCCGGCCGGCGCGCGGTCCCGAGTCCCATGTAACTCAGCTATGAGCAGCTCCGCCGTGGGAGTGCGCCCGCGATACCGCGATACCGATACGTGGGGTGCGCCGCTGGATTTATTCCGACTGACTGTGTGAGATATCAAATATTTGTTCTCGCCTTACAGCCCGACCAAAGCCTCGATTGCGGCGGCCATTATCTTCGTGCTTGATAAGAAGACGGACATCATCTCTGCCCCGCATGCGCTGGTCTACTTCGGAATCACCATCTTCTTCGTCTACTTCAAGGTCTGTATGGGGGGCGACACGGACATTCATCATTGACTGCACCATGGTCTTACGAGTATTTGTATCCATCAAAATGTGTATCTTCTAGTTGGAGCAGCGGAGATGGGTATCATCCGTCAGAATCTCTATCCTGCATCTAAGCGACCGTGTCACGTATTGGTGTTTGCTTTGCGTCAATTTAAAATCGCCTGCATACCTGATCACAATGTTCCAAAATATCTATTATATCTGAAAATGCCGCCCCGAGGGCGTATGCTCAGGCGGAGTGACTGCCCCACTGCGCTGCCGTTGCATGTGATATGTCTGTTCCAATCGAACGTGATTTCGTTCATATATTGCACGGCCTTATCGGTAACTGGTTCGCCCGCCTGTGGCCTGACTTGAGGGTTTGACGACTCGTCACATTGTCAGCTCAATGACCTGATGACCTATAGTGTGGCCTGATCAATCGCCTAATGGCCTACACTCTGATTGATGACATAATGACCCGCACCGCGATCTGACCGGTGACCGACCACTCACGTTCCCAGTGTCCCCCCATGCGCCACTGACCCGCCCCCTCCTGTGCCGCCAGCTGTCCTCGATGCTGCTGGGCATCCACGATCCGTTCGTGCCGTTCGAGAACCTCTTCTGCGCCGTGTTCCTGGGCGGCGTCTGGGACTCCCTGCAGCGCGCCGTCTCCGGAGGAAAGGCACCCGCCGGCGACCAGGCGCGAGCCGACGCCAAGCCGGAGGCCGCCAAAAAGAAGGACTGAGCCGGCTGAGAGCCGCCGGCCGCACTCGACAGCGGTGAGTACCTACGTACTGCACAGCCCACAGCCGACGGGTGGCGCTGCGGCGAGCGGGCCGGTGCCGACTGGGGAGGGGGCTGGAAATGGATTTGGATATGGGTTGGCTGGGGATAGGGGATGCTTGGGAGAGCTACTGGGAGTTATGTGTGGGGTATGGGGTGTCTTGGGGCTGTCATGGAGAGTCTTGCGCTAACAATCGCCATGGATCCGTATCGGTTCGAGACAGTGCAGCGTCCCGCTGCGCTCACAGTGCAGTGGTGCCACGGTTTGGGTTGTACCGTGTACCATTTATAGCACCTTGTGCCGCTTACCACTGATACGGTTCCGTAGTGCGGTGTCATCGGAATTTCCGATTTGATCAAAGATGGCTGCTGCACAGTGCACAGTGCTGCGCCTGTCGATAGAATATCGTCTGCCCAGAAACTAGCTGATAACGACCGAGACTTCTGAACAGTTCGCCATTGAGCAAGTGGCATTCATAGATAGCTTCGATGTTGGTCGACTGAGCCGATATGAGTGGGCTTGGCTCACATACCATTCAGTTGCAAGGCATCACTTGTCGAGATGCTTGTGTAGCGATTTAGTTAGGTACATACTTACGACAGGATGAATTATCCCATATTCAATTCTATCTGTATGACGGCTTGGCTTAAGCTTCTTTTAATCTAATCTATAACCACTCAATATTGTTTCTTTCTGGTCGGGGCCAGCAGTCATCTCGTTCTTGAGGCCATAGCGGCGGCTCTGTTGTTTCAGGTGTTCTGTTGGTTTCAGCTTCTAGTTACAATCTCTGTCGCTCTGAGAACGATCAGAACACGTACGGCGGAATCCACCCGGACTCCCGGCTCGCTGGCTGGACTCCGACCGGTGTGTGTGCTGGTGGCTGGCGGTAACTCGGCCGGTCGGATGGCTGGACTCCGACCGGTGTGTGTGCTGGTGGCTGGCGGTAACTCGGCCGGTCGGATGGCTGGACTCCGACCGGTGTGTGTGCTGGTGGCTGGCGGTAACTCGGCCGGTCGGATGGGTGGACTTCGACCGGTGTGTGTGCTGGTGGCTGGCGGTAACTCGGCCGGTCGGATGGGTGGACTCCGACCGGTGTGTGTGCTGGTGGCTGGCGGTAACTCGGCCGGTCGGATGGCTGGACTCCGACCGGTGTGTGTGCTGGTGGCTGGCGGTAACTCGGCCGGTCGGATGGGTGGACTCGTGGCCGACGGTGTCGACGCTCGGCCGGCCGCTGGCTCGAGTCTCAGCTGATTGTCCGAACCATCGACTGGCAGCTGTCCTGACACCGCGCCCCGTCCGACCGGTTCCCATCCTTCTCTCTCCCTCCGGCTGTTTTTCTCAGTAATACTGCAGAACAGCAGCCATTGGTGTGGGAACCCAAATCGCAAGCAGTCAACGAAGACACTTTACGCAATGACGAAAACATTCATATGTCGCAAATGCAACTGCATGGGCTTTTACCAGTCGACAAGTCTGGCATAAGAATGCCAGGTAAATGCGTTTTTAACAATGCCCTGTTTCGATGTATGACATGTTTTCGTTGTTGCGTAATTTGCTTTTGGTCTTTTTACACCAGCCCCTTCTCCATGCGTCCTAGCCGCCGCCCTTGCCATCCCTCGCGCTTAGTCCCTCCCGCTCCCCCACGCCGACTTTGGTGATCATTTTTAGACTGATAATCTGTCCCACCCCTCCGCATTGTTAAGTTTTATGGCATGAAGGTGTGATTTTACGGCTCCTGTGATTTGTGGTGTTTTATGAACATTGGGTGATCCAATTTGACGTGACGATGTAACGATCAAGAGCTTCGAACGAGCTTGGCCGTCGCCTTGCCATCCTCGCGTGTTTGATTCTGGCTGACTCGGTCCGAGATTATCTGTGTGGTGTTCAGGCTCCCCGTGTGTTTTGTCTGCTTCGTGTATGCAACCCGATCGTTTGTACTGAAAGACAAGAGGAGCACGGCCCCGTCCCGTCGCTCTGACTCAGCCTTGTGGCGTCCTCTGTTTCGTCCCGCCCCGCTCAGGAACGGTGTAGATGTCGCCATCGTTCTGTGCGCCTGAGTGCAATAGATGCTCTGACGGGTCACCCTTGTGTGTGTTGGAGTCTCTGGACACAAACAGAGACAATGCGGACATTAATTATGGGTGGAAGGGATGGACGCGTCGGGAATTAGTGATTGCAAGCGACTGTGAGTTCTGACCCGCGAGAACTGCGATCTCGGTTGACCTGTGGCATTGTGTCACAGCCTATTATCACCCAAGTGCAGCATATAAACCTCGCCTTCAGCCAGGTTACTGATGTCGGTTCACCAGATCATACTATCTGCCCCTACCCGCCTAAAGTGTAGCTTTGAAATCGGAACCGTGGATCTCAGTAACAGTTTGAAAATTACGAATGGAGCTTTATATAAAATATTTTATCGGCGTTTTTCCGTCTGACACGTGGCTGCCGCCAATGCCATTGCGTTCGGAAACGGTTTTGCTTGTTAACTGTACTGGAAGTTTAAAATTCGCCTTATTTTCCAGGCATAATTGTACCACGTTACATATGTCAGTAAAGCGCTGCTTTTTCTGAATGAGAAAGTACTAAAGAGTAGACAGCTCCGGAGTAATAATAACCGTGCCGATTTCAGTCTTAATCATGCAAGATCCAAACAATAGAATATCGTGTGGTACTGACTTTTGTACATACGTGTGCAGACGACAAGTATACTGCTATTTTAAACGCTCTTGACTCTTGAGCGATGCTCCTATCTAAGCAGAGGTAGCGCTTCCCACCTTTTAAATAGCTGCACGAATGCACCGTTGGATAAATATGATCACGGATGTCATTGGTCACGGATGGTGTACCTGTATTGTCCTTTGCATGGTAACCACCGTGTAGCCTTTTCCAAGAAGCCAGTGCTGTGTTTTGTAACGATTCCTTGCGTCGGTTGAAAAATCGAACTGGTCGATAGATGCGCGGCAGATAGCCGAATCTGAAGGTATCCGGCTTAAGGTTGTAGTACTTTTCACCAGGAGTAATCCTTGACAAGCTGAACTATTTTCGTGGTGAAATGTGATCGCAACATGGCGCTCAAAGACCCGTATGCAAACCAATCCAATAGACTCCACCAGGCCCAATAGAAGTTTCCATGGTGAAAGTGTAAACCGGCGGGTATCTAGGCTGACGCCGTGCCATGTATGCCAGCTACGCATCCTCCACTGTTTGATTAGCCCAAATTTCCATCCTGCTATAACCATGTCTCTGACGCAGCTGAGGGCGGCGCGGTATCGCACTTTCTCTGGTGTCGCCGTCGACCCTGGTGCGATGTTAGTTTGCCGCGGCGCGCCGTCTGCTGTAAGGTAATTTTACTAATCTCAGCCCGGTCCGCTCTGCCAGTCGTCTGTGCCAACAACGGCGCACACTGCTCAAATGTGGCGCCGTACTGCACGTGGAGCGGCCGTTAATTGCGTCATTCAGCTCCGGGAGTTGTTGTTGACACAGGTGAAGTCCCATGAGCCCCATCTGCCCAGGAGTGTGTGAAATGAGGAATGGGGGGACGCGCTGGGGCGCTGTCGGTTTACAAGTCGTTTTCCGCTATCTACAGTGTCGGGCATCGCGCCAGTCGTTCTGGGGAAATTCTGAGCGAGTATCGCGTGTGTTTGCGATTCGCCATACCCCGCCCGGTAAAAATCGCCGGCGGTCAGGCGATGCAGCGATATGTGGTCCTCGGCCGATGGATTGCTGAGGTAGCAGCACCCAGGCCGCTGGCGGGCGATTCGCGCTGCACAGGGCATTTCGCTCAATTCAGACATCATATTCAGCTTTATATAACGTATATTGGAGAACAAATGAGTGCAAAGTACCAGCTGGTGAGACACGGTAATTGCTACAGCGGGAATGTTGTACAGAACTTGATTGCTCCTTTTAAAATCAATCGACAATCGACATGTACGAACTATACATTGGTTACGAACTTACGACCATTCATACCTGCTTCCCTTATCCTCGTCTTGGAACTGAATACAAAATGATCCAATATGCATGTCTCGTAACGCCCATGTGCCAACATGATAGGCACGTTCCGCGTCTCAGTTTCACCTCAGCGATATTGATATGTTGATCAACCAGCACCGCTTCATAGCATAACGACTATGTCGCTCTTGTGGTTACCTGATGTCCCCTGGCTTTGCACATGTTCACACTGAAGCATGCCCACTTTATGGCCAAGACGTACCGCTATACACTAGTTAAGTTATCCTTGTTTATCAAGTACCTACACTACATGCTATCTTTAACAAAAAGCGCATATTTTTCAGCTTATAGGTAACAATGATTCGTTTCGTAGGGAGTAGAAGGCTTGAAAGGGCTGGAGGATATGCTCTTATCCTGAACCTGTGCTTACCTATATGGGCATAAACTCGTGGCATGTTGAGAACATTTTATGTTACTCTAAAATGTTAGACGCGTCATATCAACATTTGCAGCCTTTCAAATGTTCTGGCCGGCTCCTATACTCGATTAGGATGTTTACAGCTGATCGTTTAGATAAACTTCAAACTGTCGGTCTCAGACTTCGGCCATTCGCCGTTCTCGACGCCAAAGGGCGGCAGCGCTCGCTCATAGATACCGCAAACAGCTGTCCACTGAGTGATGCGGTGGACAAAAGGCCTTTCTTAAACAGAAGGCAGCATTCCTCAGACAATCCATTCAGTGATACGATGTGCCGACCGGGTGGTCGGAGAACCACTCGAAGGCCCCGTGGTCGCCGGTGCGCGCCCCGAAGGAGACGTCAGCTCTGACGGGGGAGTAGCGGTGCGGGCTGGGGCGCGGGCGCTCGAACCCGCTCGCCTTTTTCGCTTGGCGCAGTCCGGAGTAATGCCGGTATTCGGGCGAGGCGGGCCGATGCTGGGCTTCGTGGTGTCCTGATTCGAACGTCGGGGGGTGAGGGCGCGTCGGGTATGGCGCCCATAGTGGTGCATACGGGGTCCACAGGGGAAATGAGGACACCTCGTTCAGGCGCTCCTCGTAAAAGCTGGTCGGTGGTTTAGCGGCTACCACGGCTCCCGGTTTGTAGAGGGATGGAGCGGCCACCTTGAGCGGCGGCCGGTGCGCTGTGACCGGGCGGGCCGGGGCGCGGGGACGGGGTAGGTAGGGCCGCCGGGGTGCCGGTCCCCGCTGAGTGTAGCCGGCCGGCTGGGGTCGGTCAGTGACCTCCTCCCGGGGGGCGGGGGGCGGTTCGGCCCCCTGCAGCGGCACCTCAGTCGGCTCAGCGGTCTCAGTGACGGCAGCAGGCCTCTCGGCCGGTGCCGCGGTAGTGCTCGTGACATCCTCGGCCGCCGCGCTCTGACGCGCCTCTCCGGACACGGGGCCGTACTCTGGGCTGCGGTACGGCTCCACGGGTACGGCCAGCGGCCCGTGGGAGTACGGCGGGTACGCCGGCAGGACGGGGCTCTGCTCGTCGGGCTCCAGCCGCCGGCCGAAGTCGCCGTCGTCGATGAGCAGCTCGTCGGTGGTCAGCTCGGCCTCCGTCTGTGTCTGGGTGTCGGGCTCGGACGGGTAGCGCGCGAGCTGGCGGTACAGCCGGCCGGCGCTGGCCGCCTCCGGGTCGGCCGTGAACAGGTGGCTCTTCTCCACCAGGCCGTCCAGGTCGGCCACATCCTGCCGGCGCAGCGCCGCCGCCGGTCTGAGCAGCCGGGCCCGGCGCGGGGTCACCCGGGACCCGCGGGTGGCGGGACCGACCGGCTCACCAGCGGAGAGGGCGGCGACGGCCACCGCCGCCATCACAACCACCTGGTGAAACAAGGAAGGACATGGTGTTGGTATATTGACGCATTGCATCACACAACTGCATTCACCTTAACCCGCGAGTTGCTGGGGGGGCGTTAAACGCCCCCACTTTTTTCGCCGGGCCATAGCATAAAAACGGCGCGCCGCAGGCGCGCCAAATTTTGGGTACCTGTAGGGAATTGATTGAAGTTTATTGTGTTAAAGTTTCAAAAAAATCGGTCGGAAAATTTTTGAGATATCGAGGTTTTAGTGACGTCATGATTTCTGAGTTTTCGACCAAAAACGGCATATGTTCAAAAAAATCATATAAAATCACAGAATAGACATATCGACATGCCGTAAACGCCATTAGACTGCCAATACCATGAAGAATCAAATGGCTATCTTCGATTATTGATTATCGTTCCGCATTTTCCAAAATCTTGAACTGAATCTTGGCAATATCTCGTGACTACTTCAGGACCATGATACATGAATTTCTTAAATTGAACTTTTTTAGCCAAACACGTACACATATGATAAAATGAATGTCACCATCGTGTTCTACGCCCCAAATTACCCATAAAACATGTGTCACAGGCTGCGAATATCAGTTTTTATTTTCGGGGATATGTGCCTGCCCGGTTGACCTGACCTTGACCCTGACCTATGCTTGACTGACCCTTGCATGGAGCTGACACTCTTGTAGGCCTTATAAGATGGATTGTGCACCGTTTTGACAGAGTTTATGGCGAGAGGCGCCCATTGCGAAGTCCTGAAGTCCATGCTACTGAAAGCCCGATTTCAGGTGTTTGACCTGACCTTGACCCGACCTGTGACCTCAAAATTCAACTTTAAAGTACTCATCTGAAGCGTCTCGTCGCGCTCTTTCGTTTGCCGCCTCGTGCGTTTCGCTGCGCCTATTGGTTCTCGAGTTATCGGCTGGGGGCGTTTAACGCCCCCCCCCCCCCCAGCAAACGGTGGGTGGCGAAATACCCCAGCAACTGCCGGGTTAACTTCTGATGAGATGTTTCACTAGGGTGATTAGAATCTGATGTAATATCAGCACAGCCATCAATTTGGATATCGATGCATCAACGAGCGCAATGCATGCGAACATCCGAATGATGCAATAGGTATGAGCTAAGTTAACCGTCACTTTGAACTTACGCACATTTCATACCGCTGGACACATAAGATAAGATTTCGCGTGCTAAGATGAACTTTATAATGCAACTATTAAACTTTACTTTCTTTGGAATTTTGAACCATAATACCAGGAGAGTTGATTACGTAAGACCTGACAGATAGTCTCTCTCGGCCGAGGGAGCTGGTGTCACCCAGACTTTTTGGGGATTGCCCGGAACATCATTGCGATAGTGAGCTGAGAGACGTTCTAGTCTAGACCTTAGCCGAGACCCATGGGCTTCCTGAACTGGTATATATCGTAAAAAACGAGTCCCCAAAGCAACGTGAATGACCTGTGGCGCAGCATCGTTTCAGCAAGGATCAAGGCTATGTAAACCAGATAGAACTCTCCCGACGATAAAGTGGGGACAAAAATGAATTTAGTAACCGTGACTCTGGGGGCCAAGCAAACTCAGGTACGCATATAATAACTCATTTTTCAACGAATTATTGCAAAAAAAAACAAAGACTTGTCGGACCAGTACAAAAATGAATTGCAGCTTTCATAAACGATCCGAGTTTTTATCAGACTTGCCTAAATAATATCAAAATCAAGTCCTAAACTGAACAGCCCGTGCTGCCGTTGGTTACCTCTAACGCTCTGGCCCCTAAAATCGTCACTGGCTTATCAGCCAATGAGCGGCAAGTATTGACTTACTTACACTGATTGGTGGGATTACTGCATTTGTTGTTTAGAATGCTCACGGTGCTGACAGCGCTAGCGCAAATGTCCCCACTTTTCGTAATGTTGAAAGGCCGGAGCGCACCCTTCTGGCAAGGGTGATCGAGCAGAATAGGTTGCTGTTTTTTTTTTTAAGTGAGACGGACGTGCGTCATGTACCCTCACGTCCCTGGCGCGTAATAGATGGGAAACATGGCGGGCGCTCGCTCCTATTTTTGTGAAGGTCCAACCCAATCAGCGGTGAAACGGCGAGGGGTGGGCACTTAAGCAATGGTCCGCGCCGCAGTACCATCCTTTAAAAGCGCTTGGTATTTTCATAACATAAACATTTCATTTTCTGAGAAATGACAACCAGGTACAGGTACCTAGAACTTACTTCTAAATATGCAAAGGAAATAGCGTCAGCTTTGTGTTTTGCAGGTGTTTTGGAATTTGAAGTGACGCTCGAGTCGTTTTATGCCGTCTTTCTATTTCTTATTTTGATTTTGACGTTCAATTGTATAGCAATGACATGCAAAACCACGAAGTCAATTCGTGGCTTACTTACATAGACTCCCATACGTCCACACGAAATTGCATGAACAATATCGCCGGCTGTATAGAGGCGCCTGTCTACATAAGGTTCGTTTTTAATGTTTATGATGAAACAGGTCATGCAAAGGACATAGGTATTGAACAATGAACGCAACAGTAAGACACTATCCAATCATTAACTAATTTTCCTTTTCCTTATATTTGGTTAGAAATATGTGGTTTCTGCTTATTAAAAAAATTGCGCACTGCCCTACAAATTAAAAAAGTCAAGTGTTTAGCTATGTAGTTTATATGAGTTCCCAAGACGGTAAAGTTACAAATTCAGTCGATTGGTTATAACATCAAAGTCGTTTAAACGTCTTAAGCAGACAGATTCGATCGTTTATTCTCACTCGGAAAACTGTAGGAAATGTGTGGAAATTTGACACTCTATACCCGGAAGTTATAGGTATTTGAAATAAATGTTCATAATGGCTGCTCGTAAAAACAGCCTTATTGAACTCTCGTTTGTATATAAATACACTCTATGATGCACAGGTATGCTTCCCAAAACGTTGACCATTCATATATTTCATTACGTCAATCTTTTCGACTGTTGGCAATCCAGCATGTCTCAATCCTTCCTGTCGCGTTTCTCTCAGTGTCGCTCTCGCTGTTCAGAGGCTCACGTCTGTCTCATCAGAGCTCGTTTGGTGCACCGTGAGGCAGTGTTCGATGAGTTACAGTCGCTGGAGTTACACCTGCAGGTGCCCGGGTTGGTCCCGTCGCCGGCTCGGGGCCTCTGGAGCCCACTGGAGCGAGACGGGCCGACAGGGAGGGGTCGCGGCCCGCCCCGGCCCGCCCCGCCCCAGCAGCGGTGAAACCGAACGGGCTCGTTATGAAGGCGGGCACACGGGAAAGTAGGGGCTATGAACTGACGAATGGCGAATGTACACTGCCAGATAAGCAGTGAAACTTTTTTTCAACTTACACATTACACAACCCTTCACAAAACGCATGTAATTACTTCGTGTGGCTAGCATCACATAAACTTCAGAAAGTAAAAGGGAGTAGTAGGTATTTCCGCTATCACGTAAACATGGCATGCTGGATTTTATGCAATCATTTGCAGTAGAGGCACCATTTAAGTCTGGGCTTCCTGTGTGCCTGCTTAAGCCTTAACATCCCAGAGGAGTTGGAGGCTCCTGTTGGGGTGCTCTTCGTTCTTAACCCGCGCCCCACTGGGGTTCTGTGTATAACACGCCCCACTGGGGGGGGGGGGGGGGGCTATTCATAGCCCCCTCCCCTCCTAACTCCGAAACTACTGGGCCGATCGTCAAAATTCAAACGGCATCTGATAGTCCCGGAAAAACTGTCGAGCGAAACCTAATTTCATTGACCTCGAGGTCAACGATGACGTCACAGGTCAGGTCAAAGTAAACATTATCGATATTTGGCTTATTCACTTTTTGGCTCTGGCTGCCGTCTTACAAGTCAGATCAAGCTGATTTTTGGTTTACACACTCGTAAAAAGATGCTTTAGATATCCTGAGGGTACGAAATTTGTACTTTGATTTTCAGGTTAGGGTCAGGTCATCATAGGTCACGGAAATCTAAGTCGGTCACGTGACATATGTTTTATGGTCCATTTAGGCCATAGATTTCGAATTCGGTGTCGCATGTGTCATTTGAGGTCATTTTCATCTGAATATAGCTGAGGTCAGGTCACTTTCAGGTCAAAAAAGGTCAAATTTCAGAGTTGAAATTTTTCAACAGAAAACATGTCTATCGGATGCAGTTTGAGCTCAGGAACACGATGGTGCTATTTATATTGGTGTACAATGTCAAATTCGTACAGAAAAAAAAATGATTTGAAAAATTTGAAATTGTGAAATTTTTGCTATAGGTGATGCGTATAACTTGGCCATTTTTGAAGATATCTTGCTGAAACTTGCTAGAGTAAGTCATAAGCATGTGTTCTATCATACATATTCCGTTTTTTCGAAAAGTCAAAAAGTGTTTTTAAAAAAAAAGATAAAAATAGTTATCATTGAGATATAATAGCCTTTGCTCATATTAAGTTCCAAATGGTAAATGAAATGCAAAATTCTTTGAAAAATACCTATATTTCGTCCATGGGACTTCTTCAGGGTCACAATCATCAAACAATGCTCAGCACAACACTCCACCAAATATGTTCAAAAAGATAAAAATGCAAATTTTAAATTTTAGTATATATAATTTTCGAAATTTTAAATTTTTTGAAAATTTGAGGTGGCAGTTTCATAGCCCAGTCCATTCTGAGTCCTCTCATGCAAAGAAATTGGATCTAGCTCAAAAACTGAGCTCTTGGGAGCGATTCCCGTGGTTCAATGTTTTGCGTCGAAATCGGCCGTAAATGACGTCACTCTGACGTCATTTACGGCCGATCTATGACAGATACGAGGTTCAAATTTTTACACAAGGTGTTACATTGATGCAGCCGAAGGTATTGAAGGTTTGGCGGCGATACGTCAAGCGGTTTAGAAGTTAGGGTAAGGTGCCTAATTAGCGACCCTTTCCGATTTGCGACCTACCTCCCTACAGAAAAACTGGCAGGAGAAAACGGGGTAAAAATATCGTCAAAAGGTCAGCCATACCTTGGTTATCAAATTAAATTATTTTCCGGTCGTCGATGTTTCTGGTGGGACGTTTCAGGTGAGTTTAAATAAAAATGACGAGTTTCTTATCCAAAACGTGTGTGTTTGGGCCCTCTCTGATGAAAAGCGATGCACATTAGGATGATGCACCTTTTTTATTCTGAATCGAAGTTCCTTCTTCAATTGATTGCCGTTTTCCGATAGTGAATCGCTCAACTGTGCACAGCATGGCGGCTAAAAATGTGTCGCAGCTCATATTTCCTATTTGCGCCTGACATGGTCGCAAATAGCTCAAGAAGGGAAAGAAAGGGGAAAAGAGAGAAATGAACATGAGGTGTTGCTGAGGCTTGCAATGTGTGGCAGGGGATGCCAAATGTCGTCACCGACTGCAGGGGTGCCGAATTCAGCGCGGACCTCGAATATCATACGAGATAGCCCGCAAAATTTGGGTTTCCGCCTTCTTTTCGCCTTTCGGTGCATCACGTGATCAGTTTTTACTTCCGTAAATGTGTTGGATAAACGTTCCTGTTCGAGTGATTGAGTGCTTTGCGTATGGGTTACCTTTTTGAAATCATATTTCATCTTTTCAGGCGTCGCATTTTTTGCCATTTTTAATATGGGGAAACCCATAGACTTATTAGCGACCCTCCCCGGTCGCTAATCGGGAAGAGTTCCCTATTAGCGTTTTTGCAATGGTTTGCCAAAATGCTCACTACAAATAAGTTAGTGAATATTGGGGCAGAAAATGGCTATATTTTAATAGAAAAATGAACGGTCTATCCGAAAATCAAGCCAGTAATACAGTGGCACCCACAGAGCGTGAGCAATGACGGTTCAAATTAAGGGGGTCGCTAATTAGGCACCTTACCTTATTGCAGAAAAACGGGAGGGGGGGCTATGAATAGCCCCCCCCCCCCAGTGGGGCGCGGGTTAAGGCAGTCAGCCTATCGCCATGTAAGGCAAAAGCTAGGTAACAATAACCTATGAATCAGTCAAAATATGTGAATTACCACATATGATTCCATGTTTGATAGATATTATACGAGGTGCTATCAAAAAGTTCCAGGACTCTGCTGTTTTCGTTCGAACGGGGTGACGGGTGGCTACCTGCACATAGGGATATGGACTAGCATTCATTGGGACGTGTCGGTGCAAGTTTCGAAGCGCTACGATTATTCAGTCCTGTGCAACGCGTGTTTGAGTGACAACCTCCGGACGCCGTCCTGCGATGGAGACGATGGACCTGAAAATCGAGCAGAGATCGAACATCGAATTTTGTGTGAAACTTGGAAAGAACAGCGGCTGAGGCACTTATTTTGTGAAGACAGATGTACGGTGACGATGCCCTAAGCAAAACAAGGTGCTATGAGTGGCATGCAATGTTTAGAAATGGCAGAACCTCACTGGAGGACGATGACAGACAAGGACGACCCTCAACATCTGTAACGTCTGAAAATGTTGAAGAAATCAAACGAATTGTGCGTCAGAATCGTCGGATAACTATCGAAGAGGTGGCTGACATCGCCAGAATCTTATTTTGATCCTCTCAGATCATCTTGACCTCTTATCTGAACATGCGACGCATCGTCGCCAAATTCGTCCGAAGGCTTTTGACTGCGGATCAGAGGCAGGAACGTGTTGAGGTTTGTGAAGATCTGCTTCAACGTGTTCAGGAAGATCCACATGATGTCAAGGCTGATCACAGGTGACGAAAGTTGGATTTTTGTCTCAGCCGCTGTTTTTCCAAGCTTCACACAAAATTTGATGTTCGATCTCTGCTCGATTTTCAGGTCCATCGTCTCCATCGCAGGACGGCGTCCGGAGGGTGTCACTCAAATACGCGTTGCACACGACTGAATAATCATAGCGCTTCGAAACTTGCACCGACACGTCCCAATGAATGCTAGTCCATATCCCTATGTGCAGTTAGCCACCCGTCACCCCGTTCGAACGAAAACAGCAGAGTCCTGGAACTTTTTGATAGCACCTCGTATGTATAGGCATGCATAATGCATGATAACGTGGAGAACATATAGAAACTACCCATTAGAACACTTGCGATTAAAATGCAACGAGACCGTCAATGAGCCTTTAGGCATCTATGAAGGGGCCTCGGGCTGATTACTTCTCAGTTCTCTTCACAAAACGCTACCCAAACCTTGCAAACATGTGCAGCCAGCTTTTTGCTGGGTCCAAGCTACTGTGTTCTGGTTAGTGCTCGTTGCACGTTGTCAGTTGTACCCGCCTGGCGCAGTGCAGGGGTATAGGGAGCAGCCACGGGCGGCGCGGCGCGCGACCTCGCTGCTGCCGGACCGGTGGCCTCGGCACTGGCAGGCGACAGGTACCGACCCGGAGCTACTGGCCGTGACGTCCGACACGAAACCCATCGCGGAAAGGACCGACCGCTGACTGGTACCCGCACCGATAATGGTCTCAGGTAGTACTACGTCGTTACATGTGCCTTCTAAGTATATGTACGATCTGTCTCGTATCAAAAAAAGAGAACAACGAGCATTTAGATAGGTACTTAATCGTTTATAGCAAAAAAAGGGAGTGAGTCGTCCGCGAGTCAATCTCTGTTGACCCTACTCGCTGGAAACTCTTTTCACATTTTATTCTTATTTTCATACAGTTTTTTGTTGGTGCTTGCCTTGGATCTCCCAATGATCTGATACTGACAGCACTACCAAGATAGTGTACAATTGTATACCAATCGTAACTGATTATTACGATTGGATCACATTTTGATCCAAAATTATATACCTACTAGATGGCCATGTTTGGGCGATAACTGTATGGTATTTAAGTGATTTTACAGTTTCTGTAGTGTGTACCAAGTTTGAGAGAAATTGGCCCAGCCGTTCTTGAGATAGGAAACTGCTCCTTTCCAGGTGTGCACGTGCATTAGCATTTAGCACCCTACATATGGTAATTTGTCGTTCGATATGTGCCCGTTGACAGTCCCAAAATTCAGCACAATCGGCCCGGTAGCGGCTGAGTTATTGCAAGAATAAATTTATTTTATTTACTGGCGAATTTCCCTGGCGAGAGGTGCCTTCCGGTACCGTTTGTTGTCAGTGGTTGAATGCCTGCCTGCCAAAGCCACCGATTTCGTCGAAAAATACCCGTAACGTTAACGAAACACGGTCGTCTGTTTGAGTCATTTTCACAAAAGTTTATTGACTTTTCGATAATATTTTGGGTGGATATTGGTCAGAAAAGAATGCTCTTTCCGAATATGTAGGTTTCATAGCGATTGATCAGCGTTTTCAGTACGTTTTGGTGTTGTAAAGGACGTCGCGCTCCGCGCGAATCAAATTTTCGAATTAATTTTTCATTATTTAGGAAATGGTACGGATCATCAGTTTTTGTTTGCTATTCTCTGATTACACATACATTTGTCTGCAAAATGATACAACACCGATTTAATTCCGTCAAGCCGTTTTCCAGCGGCATCGATTTTCCCGTCACAATGCACGAAATCGGTCATTTTTTCACAACCGGGGGTGCTGTCTTGCACGTGGCGCGTGCTATGCTATGAAACCATGTCAATACGCTAGGCCCATCTCTCCTCTATACAGTGGTGGCAACCCCACCTCGCTACGGCAATCTGTCGCCGAGTTTTGGGCCCGGGAAGTGGGCGCCGCAGGCCGGTTTTCGCCCGATCTTCGATTTGACCGTTTCCCGTGTTAACCCTATGGCGCACGCGAGCGCGTGCTGACGGCGCACCCCTGGTCCGATCACGCCCAAATTTTAATACAAAGGCCGCCCACGCCCACAGATTTGGCATGCCAAATTTCACGCCGATACGCGGCGCCTTTCAGGCGCAATAAGACACATAAGGCATGACAGTCGCACGGACAACTTATAAATCATAATATAGATGTCTTGTTGAGAGTTTTCCATTACTGTTTTCCCCGTCTTTCTATGACCATCCGTTAGGAAGTTAGACAGGCGGGGGGGCAGAATCTGCCCCCCCCCCCGAAGGCGCATATGGCTCAATAGCTCAGCGGAGCTTGAGAAGTCATCTGACCTGTTGACCACCTCTCTGGATCTGCAGATGTGTCTGCTGCAGTGTGTGTTTAATTGTTTATCCGCCTAACAACTCACGTGCACTAAGGTAATTGTAGACGCAAGGTGCCACCAATATGAAAATAATTACATCATAGGCCATAATTCACATCAGAATATAGCACCCAATAGGAAGAAGGAAAATCCTCACATATGTATGCTCTGATCAGCACCGTTATCGACAACTTTCCTCAAAATTACAGTTACAGTGACATTGTCATAGACCGGCAGTAGCTATGTGATAAGGAGTCAATAATGATTTCAACTACCTTATAAGGCGAGCAGCGAAATAACTTTTCCTTGTAGGACACGCGCCTCTCCATTACACGAAAATTGTATGTATTGGGCATACAATTTTCGTGTAATGGAATATAGTTACAGAATAGCATTTGAGGATAACCACCTTTTTATGAGGTATTGTATTTCGTATGCAGAGATATAACCGTATATCTGTATATAGAGATATAGTTATATATGGTTTTGCGTGGTATTCTCACCGTGAGAAGCATGGACGGCATGCCCGCTGCGCGCCTCGGGGTCGGCCGTGTGCTGTGCGGGAGCGAGGCGGGACGCTCTAGTTCGTGAGTATCGCACCTCGCGCGCCAACCCGTGACCTGTCAGTCTGACTCCTCCCCAGTCGCCGGCACCACTGACTGCTCTGTGGTGCGCCGGGCCCTCTCCGACACCTACCCCACTCACCTGTAGTGACTTTCTCTGGTGAAGTCAGTGGAGCGTGGCGGGGCATCCGCGGCGGGTCGGGGCGTGAGAGCCTCGGCGGAGGACAGGGCGGCCACCTGGTCCTGCCGCTGCACCTGCAGGACGCGTCAGTGGGCGCACCGCCAGCGGCCGTGGTTCCGGAGAGCTGGGGTGACGGCTTGTTGTTGTTGTTGATTTTCCCTCCGGCCGCGGGTGGCCCCGCGGCGTAGCCTCATCGGCTCTGGAGGGCCCTGAAGGCGGCCACCAGGGCCGCCACCACGTCACTGCGCCAGACCTCGTCGGGTGTTGGTAGGATGTTCCCTACGGCCGGGATTTTGAGGCGAACACCCATCAGGCCCGGGCACGTGAGCAGGATGTGCCGGGGGGTGTCCGCCTCTTCGCCGCACAGCGGGCACCGGGCGGCCTCGCATAGCAGGTCCCGGCATTGGGCGCAGGCGGCTGAGGGGCTCCGGCCGATGGAGTGCAGGAACTGGGTCGATCCACTCCAGTGGCCAGTCCGGATCTGGTGGACATCGATGGCTGTCCGCCGATCCAGGCCGGAGACCGGGGGCGGGTATCTCGCACCCATCAGCTCCCGGTACCAGCCGGTCGCCGCTCTGCGTGTCGGGTCTGGGTATGACGGTCTGTCCCTGGCCGCCTGGTCCCTGGCTAGACGGGCCGCAGCCTTGTAGACGGTGTTGACGTCGATGGAGGCGATTTCTTGATCCAGCGCCGCCGCCTCCCCCGCCAGCACGTCCGCCGCCTCGTTGCCTGGGATCCCACAATGCGATGGGACCCACTGCAGCGTCACGTGGCGGTCCGGTGTGGCGATTTCCAGCAGGCGGCTCCATATCTCCGCCCCCTGGACCGTCCTCTGGGCCGAAGGCCCCTCTCTCAGTGCAGCCAGGGCAGACTGTGAGTCGGTACAGATTATTATTGGTAGCGTGTCGTCACGAGGGTGTGTCGCCAGATGTTCCAGGGTCATTGCGATGGCCAGCATCTCCGCCCTGAAGCTGGAACAGAGCGCTCCTGCGGGCCTCTTCAGCTCAGTGCGGTCATCATCGGCGTGGACGACCAGCGCGCCGGCCCCTCCAAAGAGAACGCCTCCAGTCGCCGACCCGTCGGTCCACACCCAGGTCGCACATTGGGTCAGGGACGCCAGGTGGTGTAGGGCGGCTTCCTTCTTCGTGGAGGCGGCAGCTCCGGCTGGGAGCCCCGCTCCGATGTCCAGGTTAAAACTGATCGTGCCGGTTGGTTGCCAGGGCGGGGGGCGCACGGGGAGCAACGGCTCCACCGGTGGCTCCACTCCAAGGGTCCGCCACACCTCCCGACCCAACTGGCGCCATCCGCAGACGGTCTTGAGGCGCCGCGGTGGGTCCGCCACGGCCAGTCGGTGTAGCGGGTCCTCCTCGGGCAGTGCCATGGCCTTCGCCAGCATCCTCGCCGCCAGTGCTGTGCGGCGCGCCGCGACCGGGGCCACGCCGGCTTCGGCCATTACTCCGTGGATGGGGGCCGACCCGATGCAGCCCGTTATGACTCGGGCCGCGGCACGCATCTCGCGTTCCAGAACTTCTATGTTAGTCCTGGCGGCCGCCGGCATCCAGGCGGCCGCCGCGTGTTCGATGGCTCCCCTAACGTAGCCGTTGGCGACGGCCCGGAGTTGTCTCTCCTCCAGGCCCCAGCTGCGACCGGTGATTCGTCGTAGTTGAGAGATGCGAGGGCGGACGCGGCGGCGGAGGTTCCTGCAGTGGGGGCCGAACCCCAGAGTCCTGTCCAGCGTTACGCCGAGTAACTTCAGTTCAGGGCCTCCTTCCACCGTCTGGCCCGCCACACGGATGCGGCAACCGACGGCGTCCCGGTGGCTCTGAGACAGAACTAGAAGCTGGGTTTTCTGGCCCGCCACCTCCATCTTGTTCTCCCGGGCCCACTTGACCAGGGTATCGGCCGCTCGTTGTGCCCGCTCCCGCGCGACTTCAATCGTGTTACCCGAGCACAGTGTGGAGGTGTCGTCCGCAAACATGTACGGGGTAGTGCCCGGCAGGGCTCGGAGGGTTGACGCTAGTGGAGCCGACCACAACAAAAACAAGGTCGGGGACAGAACACTGCCCTGGGGCAGCCCTGCCCTGTAGACGCGCTCGCCGCTCCTTGCTCCGTTGAGCTCGACACAAGCCCGCCGGTCTCTGAGGAAGCTCCACACCCAGGAGTTGAAGCACGCCGGTACTCCCATCTCAGCGAGCCGGGCACGCAGGAGGCGATGGTCCACCTTATCGTACGCTCGTGCGAAGTCGTACGCAACGAGGACGAATCTCTGCGCCGACTCACCGTCCGGCAGCTGTCTCCGGGATGGGGGGCACGGCTTCAGCTGCCATCCGTCCTGAACTTGTTGGGTTAGACGAGCGATGGCATCCTCCACACCCCGCTTCTCTCTGAAGCCAACCTGTTCAGGCGGGATCATGCTTCGGGTTGCGATGATGTGGTTTAGTCGAGTCGCGACGAGTCGTTCAGCCAGTTTGGCGATGTGGGATGTCAGGGCAATCGGGCGGTAACTTGCTATGAGCCGTTGGTCCTTCCCGGGCTTGGGAATGGGCACGATGACGGCACGCCGCCATTGCCACGGGACCAGTCCGGTCAGCCACGAGGCGTTGATGAGACGGAGCAGAGCTCTGCGAGCCACCGGACCCAGATGTCTGAGGTGCTCGTTGCACAGGTCATCGGGTCCTGGCGACTTCTTCAGTTGGGCGCTGGAGATTTGACGCAGCAGTTCTTCCTCCGTGAACGGTGAGCAGCAACCCGTTCTGTTACCCCTGCACTCTACGCAGGTGCGGACTTCGGCTTCTTTCAGCTGTTTCTTGGCCCGGCGATCGATGGACTTGGCTCGCACCTGTCTGGAAACGTAGGCGTACGTGCGGTTGAACGCTGTTGCCTTGTCCCTGTCCGTCACCAGGGTGCGGCCGTTGTCTTCCATGGTTTCTTGTTTTCTGTGGTTGTCATCTGACGCTCCCTCCCACATCTTCAATATCTTGTGGACCCGCCCGAGGCTCTGGTGTTTGTTGAGGTCCTTCGACACGAAGTCTCTGAAGTGTCGTTGAGAGACGCGGCGCTCGATGGAAGCGGCGCGTCTCTTGGCCTCGATCCAACGTGCCTTGGCCTGGGGGTCCCTGTTACTGTTTTGCATGGCTCTTCTCGCCGCTCTTCTGTCTTCGATTGCCTCCTCCAGCTCCGGGTCCAGAGCCCAGGGTTTGGCGTCGGCTCGTGCCCCTCTTGGTACGTGGGCAACACTAGCCTGTTGGAGGATCGAGTGGAACCTGGTAGCCATCTTCTGAACTGGTTCGTGTTCCGGTTCCGCTCCTTGGAAGGCGGCTTCGCACATCTCTTGGAAGGCCAGCCAGGCGGCTTTCTTGAATGACCACTTGGTTTTCCGGATCCTCTTGGGGGCCGACTGTCCAGTCTGCAGCTCCAGGAGCATCGGGAGGTGGTCACTGCCCATGTCTGGGCCTGTGTCCCACTTGCACCTCCTCGCCAGGGACGGGCTGCAGAAGGCGGCGTCCGGGGCCGACTGCCCGCCAGATCGGTAGCTGGTGAAGGTAGGGCGGCCGTCGTTGAGGGTCACCCAGCCGGTCCTGTCCAGCCACGTAGCGATCTTCTCGCCCGTCTCATCCGGGCCTTCGCAGTCCGCGTCCCACAGCGGGTGGTGGGCGTTGATATCGCCGGCGACGATGGTGTTGTCGCTAGTGGGGAGGTAGTCGGGATCGAAGTTGTCTTGTCTCTCGTCTGCCTCATCTGAGCGGATGGGCGGGCGGTAGATGTTGATGATGTCCAGATCGGGATTACCAGGTAGGCGAACGCCACAGATCTCGGTGGTGTCGTCTGCTCCGGGCTTGAAGGGGCCGCTCAGTACTGTGAAGTGACGACCGTCACGCATGTAGATGGCGACATCGCCTCCCTTCACAGGGCCACCAGCTCTACGGCCTCTGGAGCGTCGAGTCACGACTGGGGGCTGGAAGCCAGGTATCCTTGGTGCCGTCTTAGGGAATTGGCCCTCTTGTACCGCGAGTACGTCGACGTTGGCCTCAAGAAGCCAGGGGGACAGCTCCGCAATCTTCGGGCGGAGGCCCTCCGCGTTCCACACCACAAGGGTGAGGAGACTTCTCCGGGCTCTGTTACGGCGATATCGTCGGTTGCGGGCTCTGCGACGGTGTCGGGTACCCGGTCTCACAGCTGGCGCCTCCCCGCCGTCGTCGGTCCCGGCGGGGGGCGCTGACCCGTCGTTAATCATTTAGCAGGCCGAGCCGCGCGAGCGCGGCTCCAGGCCTGCCGATGGGCGTACGCCGCCCCCGGGCGTTGAGTGTCGGTTGCTGAGGTGGCGCAGCAACGCAGCGGTAGCCGGGTGGCCACCGCCAGGGCCCTCGCTGGAGAGGGCAGGTTGAGCCCGTTTGGCTTCCTCCGCAGGTCGCCCCAGCAGAGGCGGGTCCGGGTGGACCCACACCTCCCACCACTTGAAGGCGGGCTCGATCGGGAGGCGGAGGCGGGGGTGACGGCTCGTTTGACCCGGCCCGCCGCCCTCTCCGTGCTCTGTCTATCGGTCGCAGCTCATCCCTCGGCGGTGGGCGCCAGGAGCGGCCGAGCGTGATGACCATGAGGCGGCCCCGGTAATAGGCACGATGAGAGGAACTGGCCGCCCGATCCGTCCCGCCCCGTGCGTGTGAAAGGTGATTCAGTGCCGTCAGTCAGACGTGAATGGCATGAATAGCAGCCGTTTGGACAAATGGGCGACAGTAGATGTCAACAGCATTTAACAGATGTCTATTTTAGTCCAGTGTTACATCAGATGTCGAATGACAAAGGAGGTCACTTATTTATCATGTAAGCCATTTAACAGTTGAAGCAGGATAATTCAGCTGTGGAGGGAGATAACAGGCAATGATTTGCTTCAATACCTATGCGTTTACATCTCAGCTCTGTCACGAAGTCTGGCTGGTCAATA